ATTTATCCTCAGACCTATTTTTGCTTTATTACACTTGATTTTTACACACACACACACAAATACTCATTTTGAATTTGGTAACTGAGAGTCGTATTTGTTTCTAAGAAATTCTGAATGTGACCTTTCAGATATTGTGGGATTTCTTTCCAAAGTAAAAGTTTACACAGAAGTTTTTAATTTCAATGAAAGAAGCCAGACACACAAGGACACATATTGTGTGATTTCAGTTATAGGAAGTGTCCAGAATAGGCAATCCATATAGAAAATAGATTAGTGGTTGCCAGGAGCTGAGTGAATGGAGACATGGGGAGTGACTGCTTAAAAGGTTTCTTTTTGGGATGAAAATGCTCTGAAACTAGATAGTGGTGATAGTTGCACAACATTCTGAATGTACTGATTACCACTGAATTGTACACTTTAAAATGATTAAAATAGTGAATTTTAAGCTATGTGAATAAAAAAATTTTTTTTAAGTACATGGAAAATGAAAGATCTGAGGCTCAAGTAGATGCAAACAAAATAAACTGCCAGAAAACAGAGGCCTACAAACAATCTGGGTCTTTTGTTAAGTTACAGCCATCTTGGGTTTTCTGTCCATGCAGTTGATCCTAATTTTAACTAAAACAAGAGTCACAAAGAAGCTTCTAGGGCTCAAATTAATCCTTTAAAAAAATTTAAATGTTGGCAACATTCATTGTAGAAAATGAACACAAAATATAAATCAACCATAATTCCATTGTCTGGAAATAATCTGTCTAGGTCTTTTTTCCCTATAAAAGCACAAACTTTTCTCTAAAATGAGGTTAGATATTGTTTTGTAGTATATTCAACTACATAATTTTACTGCCTATATACCTACTACCACTTCTTTTTTTTTTTTTTTTAATATATCTTTATTGATTTCAGAGAGAGGAAAGGAGAGGGAAAGAGAGAGATAGAAACATCAATGATGAGAGAGCCATTGATCGAGCCCACAACCCGGGCATGTGCCCTGACCCGGAATCGAACCCCAATCGCCTGGATCCCAGGTCAACACTCAACCGCTGAGCCACGCCCAGCCGGGCTACCTACCACCTCTAAATCTTTTACTATGTACAGGAAATATTCTACGTGCTTTAACTATATTAACTTGTTTAATCATCCCAACAACCCCTTGAGGTCAGTATTGTTATTTTGATTTTAAGAGGAAGAAAATGAAAAGGAGGGTAAGTAGCCTTTCCAAAGTCCACAGAGAGAAACTGGCATAGCCAGGATGCAAATTCAAATAGTCTGACACTAGAGTCCATGCCACTCAACCTCTATGACCTAATATTTAACCAAATCAATTCTGCTGGACACTTGGAATTTATTCAGTTTTGCTATTACAAAAAAAATTTCAACATTCTTGAAGCCAAATATTTACACACAAAAATGATCACAATAAAATTTCCTAAAATTGAAACTGTTTCAAATTATATCAGAATTTAAAGCTATTAATAAAACTCATAAATTTCTGACACGGTCAAGCCTTATAATTGTCGGCAAGAGCACGTGTACACGCACACACGCACACAAACATACACACATCTGGGGAAAAGACTGACTGTGACGTGCACAGCACCATTATTCAGTTGTAATTAAAGCTCTGATGTTATATATCCTGTAAGTGGCAGAACCAAGGATGGAATGTCACTTTTGTTTTTTGTATTGTTTCTTTTTTAACTTTGAATGTTTCCCCTTGACTACACTGCTCCTCCAAGTAAGAATCCTGGGTCAGCATTTTATTTCTGGAGCACTCTGTAATTACAACCACCTTCTAATCCTTCTTCACTCAAACAAAATCAGATAGATAATAATGGTAGAGAGATAGATAGATGATAGATAGAT